AAGACTCCCTAGAAAAGACCCTGATGTTGGGAAAGTGTGAGGGCAAGAGGAGACGGGGATGACAGAGGATGAGATGGTTGGACAGTGTCATTGAAGCGACCAACATGAATTTGACCAAACTCTGGGAGGCAGTGGAAGACAGGAGGGCCTGGCATGCTCTGGTCCATGGGGTCACGAAGAGTCAGACATGACTTAACAAGATTTCCTTGTCTAATTACCGTATTTTTCGCTCTATAAGATGCATTTTCCCCACAAAACCAGGGGGGTGGAAAGTCTGTGCGTCTTATGGAGCGAAGAAAACAGATTTTTCCCCCCTGTTTTCTTCTCCTAAAAATCTGGTGAGTCTCATGGAGAGGTGCGTCTTATGGAGCGAAAAATACGGTATGTGTTTTATTCAATGTGGAGTCTGTCAGTCTCAATATTCTTCTCTGTGTGTGCAATGTCCTTCAAAAAGCAGTTACCATACTGATAGGTTGATTGGCAGGAAGGAGGGAACAATAGCCCTATTTAGTCATTATAGATTCGAACACTATCAACAGAATTAGAGGGGTGTGCCTAGTCTTTCTCTCTCACACACCCTTTATCATTGCCTTTTCCAGGAAGGCAAAGATAATGCTGAAGAGGAGAGGTCCCTGCCTGCCTATCGATTCTACACATACAGCCATGGTTACGGGATTAATCGGTTTTCAATGCACTATAGGTCAATGGAGACTTGACTTACAGACTTTTTGACTTGAGAACCGCCTTCCAATACGGATTAAGTTCTCAAGTCAAGACCCCACTGTACTCACATGTTCATTTCTTTGGTTTGCATTGGAACAACACAAAAAAGAGAAGACAAGTAAAATCTGATAAAATCCCACACAGAAACCCAAAAATGCATTGGCCAAATTTATTGGCACCCTTAACTTAATATTTGGTAGCACCCCCTTTGGAAAAAATAACTGAAATCAGTCGCTTCCTGTAACCATGAATGGGTTTCTTACACCTCTCTACTGGAATTTTGGACCACTCTTCTTTTGCAAACTGCCCCAGGGCCTTCAGATTTGAAGGATGGTGGTACTGAGACGGAGGTACTGAGGGTGGGTCCCCCCACAGTTGGGGATTTGGGAAACTCCCTCTCCTCTGGGGGGGGTATGCCCCAGGGCCTTCAGATTTGAAGGATGGTGGTACTGAGACGGAGGTACTGAGGGTGGGTCCCCCCACAGTTGGGGATTTGGGAAACTCCCTCTCCTCTGGGGGGGGTAACTCTGCCCACCAGGGATGGGGTCCGCAGTCTGGGGATCCATCTGGACCCGGCGCTCACTATGGAATCCCAGGTGGCGTTGGTGGTCCGCACCACCTTTTTTACCTTAGGTGGATAGCACAGCTGCAGCCCTACCTTGATGTGGGGGCACTCACTACCTTGGTGCATGCGCTCGTA